CATTGCCTGGTCTGGGGAATTCTGGGTAGTTGAAGTTCACCCATCTTAAAGTTGCTGAGGTTGAGGAACCCAGATCAGTATACAACAAATACATAACGTTTTGAGCCAGTGGTGTATTTGCAGTGCATATTTGCAGTTTGTTTTCTTTTAAAGCCATAACTGTGAAGATGCCAATTCAGGTTGGCTTTAGAGTTGAGACAGATCTTGCTATTTTAGGAAATACTGCTGATGTCAAGGTAGCTCCATGCCAAAACCAAAAATATCAACAACATCCCCCTAAACCTTGGTTTGGGATCCTTGTTTGTAATAATGTTCTTATGCCATTTTGCATTTTGGTTTAGAACCATCATACTTAGTTGGATACGGTTATTCAAACAACTACATTAAACTTTACTTGTGATTTAGCCTATAGCTGGGAGTTTTTTAATCAGACAATATAAAATGGTTTTGAGAGAAAGTAAGTATTTTCAACTTTACCATTCCATTTCACCATCCTTCGAGGGACGGTAATCTTTTGATGTACTAAGTGTCTTCCACTAAGTATCTTTTTCTCCCACAGATATCAGTTTGAAATAAGATACTTAATGCTCTGGAATCTATCCTGGGTTCAGTAGGAACACCTGTGAGATTTGAGCTCTATATTGCTGTAAGTTAGAATGTTTCCATTGATGCACCATATATGATTTTTTTAATCCAAAGAAGAGCAAATCTGTTGACTGTATCTTTCTACTTAAATATGAATGGCTAGCAAATCTGACTCCTCACCCCCAGCTACCCTTCATTTTAAGAGACAGTTTGCCTTTTGGGCCAGATGTGCTTAACTACTTACCTCTCTCTCTTTTCTTTGGATCCTGTCCCGGAGCAATTATACAATAAGAAAAAGGGCCCTGGAGAAAGTGCTAAACCAGGGAAGGCTGATATAAGGCTGTTTCATTAGCTTGTCCTGGTTTGGTCCTTTTCAGATGTGAAAATTCCTGATTTCCTAATCTCCCTGCCCACGTAGCAGTTACAGAAACGCGCCAGGCTGGGGAGTTGGCTTGTACCATTAGATACGTTTCGTGGTGCGTCTCAGCAGTTTTGAAATCGGATCTACCTGCACACCTGTTACACTGCCATGTAAATGAATCCTACCTTTCCAAGCTTCTCCCCCCCCCCCCCCTGCCCCGACCTCCTGATTGTCAGACCATTTGTTGACA